CGGGCGAGACGTATAGGAGGAGCCATGAAGCGGGTGGATGATGAAACGCGGCGTCAAGTGCGTTGGTCACACAATGGCTTCGCACTCGTATGCTCAGGTTGCTGAGTCCCGGCTACTGGCACTGGAGCGTGACCAGGCCTCGGGGGCAGTGGACACGTACGACGCTGCTGACGACATTGGAGACCCGAGTGATGACAGCGATGTGCCACAATCCGGACGAGGTTCCCAGGTTGCCTATTGACATGCTCGTGGATCCTCCCTGTCAGAACACTCCGTTATTGGGACCAAACGTGAGCGGAGGACACTGGAGATGATTCTCATCGAGGACCGAGCGGAGGCCGAAAAAAATCGTAAGCAGAATAGCTCAATGCAGCTCACAGTTCATTTCAGCCAATCCTGTGGACACATTTGAAAACTGCGAGGTTGAGGAATCTCGATACCCTTCAGTGAAGATCTGCAGCGTATGCCTCTTTCTAGCCAAATACCAGTGTGTTAGATGTGGTACTTTGTATTGCTCCAAACGTTGTCACGATATTCACCAAGAGACCCAATGTATCAAGTTTGCTGAGTGACTTAATGTCAGTATTGTGTTGACCACTCATATCGAACACGAGTCAACGATATCGAACAACACATCAGGGTAGCACATACAATGGGAAATAGTGATGGAGGCGATAGTCTTAATTACTCGATATAGGTCTAGGAGGAGAACGAGGCTTCATGGACCAAGTCCAGGATTCTCGTTTGGGAGTAGCCCCGATAACGCGTGGATTACTAGAGCTCCAACTGCGGTTGGGGAACTCCCTACGCCGCAACGGCACGATCGGTTGAACCACTCTGACCTGTCCAAGGCCAAGAGGCGCTCGGACGATACGCTTGCCTGCCTTTCGTTCAGGGGAGGGCATTCGCTGCACTGAGATGCTATCTCTGTCTCGTATGCCACCGAGAGCGCTAGCCATAGCTCGACTGCTCCCCAGAACGCCGTTGGTGTAGTTGGCAGAAGTCCGCTTACCAACCTTGGCAATCAACTCAGCCTCGTCCGTATCATTGTCGAAGACTCGAGATGTTCGTATCTTCTGAGCATTG